GTATGAAGATTTTTCCCTCCTCCTATGAAATCTGCGCCAAGAGGCCATAGTGGAGTCTCCAACCTTTTTGAGTTATAGGGTTGCTGTTAGTGGTGGGATTCAAATAATTTAACAACCGGTTCTCTGCCCTAATGATTTCTTTCAACAACCAGTTCATCAAACTGCTCAGAAAATTAACAACCGGTTCTCCCAAAGTGGTGCGAACTGGCTGAATCCCACCACTGGTTGCTGTTGAAATCTGCATCTGTTGTGAGTGTACTTATAGCCTGGTTGCCCATCAACAGAATAGCTGCAAAAATGGTCAGTCACAGTCACAAAATGACTACTGAAAGACTGTCTGGTGAGGCTGTATTTGCCACCCACTAACTCCCCAAAGACAGTTTAAGTTTCCAACTCAACTATGACTAGTACATTTTCAATTATGAATTTTCTCCTTCTTCCCTTTTATAAGTTATTGTTCAGTAAAGAGAAACATGCCAGAGACAAAAGGCTAAACGTCATTGGCAGCAGAATTTAGTTCATGAGTATGAAACACAAGGGGTTCAAGACCAAACTAACCAGAAGCCTATGCAATCAATTCCAACATTGAGATCACAAAGTAATTAAGACCAAGGCAATAAGCCAAAAATTTGTTGCAGATCATCTCTCAGCATTGTATTCTTGTTGGCTGTTTGCTTTTGAAAAGGAATGTTCCTGAAGGGGCTCCTGAACTTTCAAGTTCAGGAGTGTTTTTGTAGAAACAGACAAATCAACATAAGAAGCACCAAAGTTTACTGTATACTGAGAATTATTTCAGGAAAAAGCTAAATCCAGACAAGAAGAGTTGGAATAATGTTATTATGTGGCAGATCTTGTGACCTAGGCACAATGGAGGTTCTGGTCATCTGAAAAGTTCTCCTGGATCTCTTTGTGAGTCTCAATCTCAGGATAGGAGTAGGAAAGCAAAAATGGGCAGTTTGTATGTTGAGATTATGTTGTGGGCACTGTCACAAAAGAGCTAGCAAGTGGGAGGCCACCTACGTTAGTCTGTAGTGGCAAAAAACAAGACTCTGGTAATACCTTTTCTGACTAGCAAATGTTATTTAAAAGCATAAACTTTCAAGAACTGCAGCTCTTTTGATTGATTGATTGATTGATTGATTGATTTCCATCAAGTCAGTCTTGACTCTTAATAACCAAATAGATAGGGTTTCTCCATGATGATCTATTCTTAATCTGATACTTCAGGTTTTCCATTGTTGCACAGTCACTGTAACTGAGTCCATCCTCCTTGCTGCTAGCCATCCTCTTCTTCTCTTTCTTTCCATCTTTTCCAGCATTACAGCTTTCTCTAGGAAGCCAGGTCTTTGCATAATGTGTTCAAAGTAGGATAATTTGAGCCTGGTCATTTGCCCCTTGAGTGAGAATTCTAGATTGATTTGTTTGATGATCCATTTGTTTGATTTCTTAGCTGTCCTTGGTATTCTCAGGAATCTTCTCCAACACAATACTCTTCCTATCTTGCTTCTTCAAAGTCCAACTTTCACTTCCATAGGAAGTCACAGGATGTACCATTACAGGCTGTCCTGGAGTTATGACCAAATTTGTTCAGCAACTGTATGAAGTTGCAGTGGCACTGAATGAATGGTATTTATGTGGGGTCCTTGACGTTACAGCTGTTGCAATGTCCCCATAGACACCTAATCAGAATTCAGGCACTTGGCAGCCTCCCTACACTTACAACTGCCAGGGCTCTTCAACTGTTGCCCTCCCCATCCCTGTCCTGCAGAGTGGCACTCCTCAGCAGCAGTGGCAGTACTGGACCTGAAGTAGAGGCCCAAGGCTTTCCGTAGTTTCATCCAGCCACCACTAACCCCAGGCTTCTACTTCAGCCCCAGGGCCACTGAGCAGTACCACCTCAAGCATCATCCTTAATGTGCATAGCACAAAGCCCCAACCATCCCTTCCACCCTCCTGTCCTATACTCCACTCACAGTGCTGCCTAAAAGCACTGCTGCCCCAGAGGACCTTTGCCATTTTTCTCCTATTGCTGATGAGATGTACCCAGCCTGATCCTATATAAGGCAGATGCTGCCCGGGTTAGGCCTTCTTCCCAAGGCTACCCACACCGTTCTCCAAATAGCACAGACCACTGTCACAATGTTTCTGAGGCTTTCTAAAATGTCACCGGAAGGCTGCACCAAATCATGTTGGCTGTTCTACAGTTTTTCAGACAGTGTTCAAAAAGTTTCTGAAACCAAACCAACAGTTGATGATCCATTACTACAGCAAATTACTGAACCTACAATTAGACTTTCAGAATTTTAACTGCCTACTTCACAGGTGGTAGTGTAATTCTATTGTCTGGATATCACAAGAGGGTCTCTCGTGTCTCTGAATGGTCCCAAACCAATGTTTGAGCAATGTAGCACAAAAGGGTCAGGTCCTTTTAACACAAAGTGAGGGTTTTTTTTTTCCAGTTTTCAGAGCAACTGGCAGTCCAGTTGACTCATCAAGTCAATTAATAGTTGCACTTCTGCAAATTGAAGCAGTCATAATGCTGCACCAATTCTAGAATCATCTACCTCTAGCTTGCTGTTATACTTCAGAAACTGGATATTTCTGCCAGGTCACTGTATCTCTTTTCTAAGTCTTGCCAACACTGGCTTTTTCCAAGGCTAGTAGGTGCTTCTGTAAGACTTGCTTCTGTAGGCTTCTGTAAGACTTGCCAGGGATATAAGCTCTTTCCTGCATTTCCATCTTCCCCCCAATCTGTCATGTGGCTTCTAATGCTGCAACTGAGTCACGCTGGCCACCACCTTTTCCAGATGCTGTTACTGCAGCCACTGCCAAGCTCCTTGATAATGATCTCATTCCAAACCTTTTCCTTTGGGTATTCTTCAGTCAAGCCACTCTAACTTATCTCAACAGTCTCTGCTGCATATGGTGTACCCAGCACTTATCAAACCTCTCTAGTTTCTTCTTCTTCTTCATGGACACTTCGTCCACCATTCCCAGCACACTAATGTCCCCCATGTCACCACTTCATGTGCAGCAGTGCAGATGGCAAACCCATTTACAGAAATGCAGCCATTTTAAAGGAGGAAACGCAAACATTTCTCCTTTGTTCTGTATTTCCTCTTTCCAGATTTGCAGTTGACTATTTTATTCTGGGAGGGTCTAATTGGAGCACAGCAGGGGTGAAATCCAGGAGGTTCTGACAGGTTCTGGAGAACCGGTAGCGGAAATTTTGAGTAGTTTGGAGAACCAGCAAATACCACCTCTGGCTGGCCCCAGAGTGGAGGTGGAAATGGAAATTTTGCAATATCCTTCTCCCAGGAGTGGGGAGGGAATGGGGATTTTGCAGTATCCTTTCCCTGGAGTGGGGTGGGAATGGAGATTTTGCAGTATCCTTCTCCTCCCACATCCACCAAGCCATGCCCACCAAGCCACAGAACCAGTAGTAAAAAATTTTTGATTTCACCACTGGAGCACAGGAACATTCTAAATTCTAAAGTCTGGTTAGAAGTTGATGCTTCTAACATCAGGTTGTTTCCTCCCCTTTTTAATTTTACAAATCTTTACCTGAAATTAAAACCAGGAAAAACAAATATTGAGAAAGATGAATTATGCCTGTGAAAAAAAATGCTATCTTTGTGTTATCCAAGTTGAGGTTTGGGAGCAGAAATACTTTTCATCAATTCCTGGTGAGTTGCTAAGTTTTTCCAAAATCTTCAAATGATAAAGGCAATGTTATAAGGAAACAGCATAGATGATATAATGATAATGATGATAATTTATTAAATTTGTATGCTGCCTGATGTTTCCAGGGTTTGTTTATGCTCTTGGTTAGAGGTAAATTGGGAAAGACCATGAATCTTAATCTAAATTTCATCCTAGGGACTTGTCATTCATTCTAGATGAATGGCAAACTCATTCCAAGGAGTATATGCTGTAATCAACTAAGATTATGGTTTAGACCTCTGGAGTCCTTAAGATGCCTATGGTTATGACCTATAATTGCATAATAATCAGCTGCAAAGAAATATGGAGTGTCTGTATCTATCTCTGTATCTCTTTATCTATACTAAAATGGTACAGGTAGTCATTGATTTATGACTACAATTGAGCTCAAAATTTCCATTGCTAAGCAAGATATTTGTTAAGTAAAATTTCTCCCATTTTACAACCTTTCTTGCCACCGTTGTTAAATGAATCACTGCAGTTGTTAAATTAACAACACAGTTGTTAGGTGACTCTGGCTTCCCCATTGATTTGCTTATCAGAAGATCACAAAAGGTGACCATAGGACCGCAGGACATTGCAACTGTCACAAATGAGTCAGTTGCCAAGCATCTGAATTTTGATCATGTGATTATGGGGATGCTGCAATGGTCATAAGTGTGAAAAGTCTCTTTTTTCAGAACTATTGTAACTTCAAACGGTCACTAAACAAACTGTTGTAAGTCAAAGAATACCTGTATAGGGTCTCCTGCTTGAGAGGGGGTTGGACTAGAAGACCCCCAAGGTCCCTTTGAACTCTGTTACTCTATCTACTCTACTCTACTCTACTCTACTCATTTCATCTTTGTTTACATTAGAAACATCCTGCTCTTCAAGCTGTTCATTATAACTTCCTTGCTAATAGTGAATATAAGAACTATCCTGTTTTCATTATTGTTACTAGTAGAAGTATTTTAATATGTCTAGAAGACAAATTGTTATTTGTTTGTTTTTACTACAAAATTCTGTTCTCAAAGGTCAGGAATCAAAAGATTTATATGGGGGGAAAATGTCCTGCACTCAGAATACCAACCAGGAATATACCTTCAGCTATGCAAAACCTAGTAGTTTGACTTCCAAAGAGACAAGGTTGTATTTAGACCTGAGCCTTGATTTAGCTCAACTCTATCCTTAAATTTTGTGCACAACAAGCAGATACCAAAAAAAAAAAAAAAAAAAACCAGCGGGAGTGGAGATAATATATACAAGTCAACTCATAGATGTGTGAAGATACTTACCTGAGGTGCTGATTAAAGTAGCAAGTGAAAGGCTGAGAACCTACTTCGTCTTCCCAATAAATCTGCCAGTGCATTACAATATCAGAGTTCTTCTCGTTTTCCCGTTCACAGGGGGGGATGTATGAACACTATAGAAATAAAAGGTCATTAAATGGCGTCTTTTTAGTATGCAGCATTTCAACTTGGCTCTTCCTTAACAGTTTTCATAATTAAATTTAAACCATATGCCTCAGAAATTCAGCAAAAACACAAGTGAGAGATTTAAATGAATACTGTTGTGAATATTACTATTCAAGAATGGTCACTGAACACTGAAATTCTTCTATTCAAAGGAACTGAATTTTCTCCATCTCTCCCTATGCACATCTCCAGCCTCTAATTTTAGACAGTTACATAAAAAGGGTGTGACACAATAGAATAAAATTCAATTTGTGCCTGGAAAGGCTTTAGTCTCACTAGTAGAGCTCTTATGTTCTTAAGAGCTCTACTAGTGAGACTAAAGCCTTTCCAGGCACAAATTGAATTTTTATGAGAAACTCATAAAAACGAGGACAAAAGCTTAGCTTTTACTTCCTGTATTGCATTTTAGAGATATGTTATGTCTTGAGTATATGCAATACTAGTAGTCCTCAACTTATGACCACAATTGAGCCCAAAATTTATGTTGCTAAGTGAGAAATTTGTTAAGTGAGTTTTGTCCCATTTTATGACTTTTCTTGCCACAATTGTTAAGTGAATCATTGCAGTTGTTGAATTAGTAACATGGTTGTTAAGTGACTCCGGTTTCCCAGATTGACTTTGCTTGTCAGAAGGTCACAAAAGGGGATCACATGACCCTGGGACACTGCAACCGTCATAAATGTGAATCAGTTATCAAACAGAACAGAATAGAATAGAATAGAATAGAATAGAATAGAATAGAATAGAATAGAATAGAATAGAACAGAACAGAACAGAACAAAACAGAACAGAATTCTTTATTGGGCAAGTGTGATTGGACACACAAGGAATTTGTCTGGTGTTTATGCTCTCAGTGTACATAAGGAGAATAAAATACATTCATCAAGAATAAAAAGATACAACACTTAGTGATAGTCAAGGTTACTAATAAACTATCAAATCGTACTAGGAAACAAATAAAAACAATATAAATTGAAAGATACAAGTAACAAGGTTGTAGTAATAAGTGGGAAGAGATAGATACTAGTAAAGAAGAGAAGAATAATAGTAATACAGTCTTAATAAATTATTTGACAGTGTTGAGGGAATTAGTTGTTAAGCAGAGTGATGGCATTCAGGAAAAAACTGTCCTTGGGTCTAGTTGTTCTGGTGTGCATTGCCCTATAGCGTTGTTTTGAGGGTAGAAGTTGAAACAGTTTATGTCCAGGATGTGAGGTTAGGGTTAGGTTAGCATCTGAATGTAAACCACGTAACCATGGGGATGCTGCAACAATCATAAGTGTGAAAAATAGTCATAAATCACTTTTTTCAGTGCCGTTGTAACAGTCACTAAGTGAACAGTTGTAAGTCGAAGACTACCTGTATTTTTGATGAATATGCTTTGCTAGCATTTCCCTACATGGCTGATATAAAATAATATTGTATTCACTAGGGAAGCTCCCCATTCAGTCCAGAATCTGCCCCAGATAGGCAATCCTGGAAATAGACTTTCCCCTCCTAAAAATTATTTCTCCAAGTACACAAATCTTCCCAAACAGGAACTCTTAGCTTCTTAGTGAGACATGCCTGACAACATGTAAATCCGAGGGTTGACTGTCAGCCCTATCTATTGGCTAGGAAGAACAAATGTTTCAAGAAAAGGGTGTTAGGGAAATCTTTTGCTTCAAAGGTAAAGGTTTCCAGTAGAGGACCTGTAATCGTTGTTGATTTATTTTTGTTTTAAACAGATTTATTGTCTTTGGCATCTTGATGACTCTGGTAACTGTCTCTATTTACTTTTTTGTCAAAATGTACTGCAAACTCAAGTTTTGTGTTTACTTCTACTTCAAGCTTTGAGCTACAATTTCACTGTGGATCTGTGACCAGTCTCAGTGCTGCTTTTTGCTAGAGACTGATGTTTAAAGAATCATTTTTGATTTTATGCTGCTCAGTGCCTTATTTACTTGCTTGTAAAGGACTTTGATAGTTTAACTACTTAAGATTATGAAGATGTTTTCTATTGTTCTTATTTTTAATACATTTTTTAAAAATTTTGCCTTGTGCTTTTCTGCCTCCATTCAAAAAAAAAAAAGGAGGGGGAACTGTTTTCTGTGGTCATGTGGCTCAGAGGGCCACGTGACCACGTGACAAAGGGCAGGAGCTACAGATTTTAATTTCCTTTTTCATTACTATTAACACAATCATTACTGTAATTATTATTCCCAGTCTACTAACTAGTATGTGTTCAGGGATCCTGATTTGTCCCATATCTTAAGGTTAATGGGAGGGTAGAAGATAAAGCTATCCCCTATAAGGCAGTTGCCATAATAATTATCAAGAAGCTGCACCAAAGGAGGAAAGTAAGCCTAGGAATGTAAAACATAGTGGATTTCTGAGAGAGGGAGGTTGCATCCCCGAATCTTTCAACCTATAGGCTCAGCCTCCCGCTGTTATAAATATATGAATATAAAACATGCCACTTTTATTTCTAATCAAAATTAAAAATTAGATCCAGATTCAGAATGTGCATTCAATCTAACAGTTGTCTTATGAAATATAATCAAGCAATATAGTGGTCTGGCATTATCATTCTGGCCATTTTCTGACTGAGGCCAATGAGGAATTAGCAACACTGAGCAGCTAAGACTAGGAAACCAATCTGTCACCTTTTTGGGATAGTCATCATCTCTCAATGTGCCTAAGAAATAGAAAGAAAGTTGGGACGGCTGTGCAAAAAACAAACATATGACACAAACCTATAGATTTAATACTCGACTTATCTGTTAGCTCACCATTAATTATAATTATCACAATAATTTCTCTGAGAACTTTACCGCCCCATTATTGAGAACTGCTGATAAAGATGAGTAACCCAAATAAAAACTAGAATGCAGAGATTTTTCAGGAGCTCATCAGCAAAGAGCACTCCAGAATGTCTCTTCCTTTCTATTTTTCAGGTGAAGATTCTTACCATTCATGAGATTGAACATTCTGGGTACAGCACAGGAAGTTGCAAATAGACAAGGCAGTGAAATATTATATACTTTCATAGCAGACAGCTGCCTGGAACCGTCTTTCTCTGGTCCCCACACCTGCACTCCAACTCCCTAACAGTCAGGCCCATCAAACTGGCAGCCTGTGGGCTGGATATGTCACGTGCAGACCACGCCCACCCCGGCTCCACAAAGGCAAAAAACATTGCACTATGTCACAATCCGACCCGTGATGCGATCGAGTTTGACACCCATACCTAACTGAATAAAAATACATTTTGTGCTCTTTTGGAGATAGAGTCATAGGCACCTTTGGCTGTTTAGCAGAACTAATGCTCAGTTGACTGTAACCACATGCACTTAAGATTCAGTACTGATAAACATTTATAGTGTTATACTATATCAGTCTAGCTTAGCATTCTCTATTCTGATGAGTATGACTTGACCTGTAAAACTGGAGGTTTGTTCCAACCCAGAAAGGTGAAATACTTTACAGTAAATGAAAATAGTAAAAATGAAAAGCAATGCAAAAGCAAAAGATGTTCAAGCCTTTTCTAATTTGACCCTTCTACTTCCCAAGGCTTCAAAGCTGTGCATCTCAGGCATAGACTAATACATCCGAATACAAAGATCACAATGGTTATTTTAATTTATCTTCAGAACTAAAGCTTTTTAATTGTATTGATTTTTTAAAAAAAATAAACTCTTTTAGGAATTTTTTTCTATAGTATGTAGTTTAATTTTTTTAGCAAGCAGTGTATATTGAGGACCTTGTACCAATGACAAGAGTCCAGTGATGCAAGGCTCAGGAAATAGCCTATTATTCTGTAATACTTGCACAACTATAAGACTAGAGTTATGATGTTGAATCAGACTATGGTACTATAGAAACTAGAAGATATTTTTATTGCTCCAAGCAGTGTTTTGGAAAGATTTCAAAAGGCAGCTAATTTGGTGTTCTGTGTAGGTACACATTGTGCTACAATATTAATTTAAGAGATGGTAGATAACTCCACTGAAAAATAAAAGGGTGAGAAGAATTTTAGTATATTTTTTAGTCTTCAGATAAAGATATCAATAACAATTCAAATCATTCGTATTTTTAAAAAGAATCTCTGCAGCTGAATAACATACTATATAGTGTTTCTCAAACTTGGCAACTTTACGATGTGCAGATTTCAACTTCCAGAAATTCTGGGAATTAAAGTCCACACATCATAAAGGTGCCAAGGTTGGGAAACACTGAACATACTAGGTTAGTGGTCTTCAGCTTTCCCGAATCATACACAATGTGAGCTGAACATATTTGGAGAAAATCAGATTAGAGAAAACATTACTGATGATTAATGGCATATTTAAGGAAATAGGCAGCTGATTCACAAATGCATGTCTCTCACTTGACTTGCAAGTGTAAATGAATCTCACCTTGGGATTTGTTTTAAACAATGAAAAGTGAGCAAATATTAATGAATAAATGAACTATTATACATCTAACGAAAGAACATTCACATTATCAATACCACTAACATTACAAACACAATACCTGTCAGTGGACAGTTAGTGATGAACTGGAATGCATCCTTATTTTAGGAAACAGGATGATCAAGGTTACAGTTACTATATCTGGTTTAGATATAGTAACTGTAACCTTCTTGTTTTTGATAGTCAACAGAGCTATAATTCTAATATCTTTCAATATAGATTGCATACGTGTAAAAAGTTCTATGTGAAAAGAATCTTGACAAAGCATCAAATCCTCCAGAACTTGGAAGTATTTGCCCCTTCACAATTCAGTGTTAGATGCTGGGATGTGAAGTTTATTCTTGCTCCTGAAACAAATTCTTCTATAGACATGACTTGATTGTCCTCAGAAATATACTCTACACTGAAGACCAATTTGTCATTTTGAACATTCTTCCTTGCCACCATTAAAGGTTAGCTAGTAGCGTATGTACTTATTTGGACGTTCATGAAAAGCAGCTTTGGGTTATATATTATTTTGAATTTAGATTGCAATCCTATGCTTTCGTAAGGGGAAATAACATAGTGAGCATACAGATGACAACATGACTAAATAGTAATAATCAGAATATATATCCAACAGTTAATGTTTCTAGGTTTGTCTAATTGAATTATCCCCAATGACCTTTATTTAAACAAGTATAGCCTCTATTCTATAGTTAGTTTCATCCAATTAATTAGGGCAGCCCAAGCCAACAGGACTATTATTTCTCTCTAACACAGGAAAAAGGTAACTATTTTCGGTTCAAGGGCTGCACCTTGTCTTTGGATGTTTTTGTTTTTGAGGTGAATTCAAAAAGTAGGAACAAACGGAATAGAAAAGTGGACAAGATACTTTTAAGACAAATCTTTTTAAAATCCTTTCCTCCAGAAACAGGAAGGGAGGAACAGTTATGCATACTTTAAAACACAGATATATATATTTTTAAGAAGCCCTTCAGTGCCTCCAAGTCCTTGCCAAAAACTGGATGAATACAATGGGAATCTCTCGGATTTGCACAAGAGAATTGCAAGGCCTCATATGGCCAGAAATTGCTCGTCCCCTTTTTAGCACATATTGTCTTGTTCATGCACATGAAAACTCTTGCAGTTTATTTCCTATCAGTGCTGCCTTCTGAAAGCTTTTATTCCTTGCCTTTTTTCTTTATTCTTCAAAGTCAACTCATGCATCTCTTAAGCCATTATTTTGCAGCCAGAACTACTTGATAAATGTAGTTCCAAGGAATGAGATCCAAGAGGCACTTGTTAAATTTTCTTTTCTTTTTGTTTAGGATCATCTTTCATAATGGAAAAGGAAGCCTTGACCTTCAACTCTCATCTCTCTACAAGCTTTAACTCATAATATAACATATTTTTGAACCATTTAGATTTTACATCTTTAACTTGGCAACATAAAGAACTTCACTAGGCACCGGAAGAAAAAAGCATTATCTCCAGCACAGAAATATTTAAAACACAAAACAATTTTTTCTTCCTCTGCTACAGATCAGAAAAGAAGACATTGCTAGAAGGCATTTAAGATTATTATTTGTTAAATAATATCAAAGGTAAAAGTGTCCATGTGAGTTGGACAACATATTGGTTAGAAAAAAATATTTGGCTGAAAATAGATTTTACTGTAGAATTTGTTATGTGGTCTTGAGATGATTCTGTTGGACTAGCAGAAATGGAAGAAGAAATTAAGTCCTTGAAAAGGGGGCAATCATGTTAGACATCAAAATAAAACTTGTTTCAGCATCTTGAAGATTACCCACCATCTTTCCACCAGCATTTACATATCTAAAAAATTATCTTTTCTCCATATTTCCTAACAAACACACATGTGTATGATGATTATTCACTTCTATCCGCTTTTAAGAAAGTTCATGGGTTTCCTGCCTTAAAATTATGCTAATGATTGTTGATAGTTCCAAGCATATCAGCATATCATATCTGGATGGGATATTTTCTTCTCTTTTATTATCATTCACCCTGTATTGAGGGGACATCTTCACCCTGTAAGGAGGAGCACATCTTTCAGTTTCTCAAGTCCATTTTTAGATTGTTTCATGCATTATAGCCTGAGGAAAATGGCAGTTAGCATTCAACAGATGCTCTTGGAGAATAGTTAATCTAAGAGACTTTTTCCACTTTCTCCTCATATGCCCCAGCAATTTGTTTTAGTAGCTTTATTGTGTCTGCAACTAATATCTGAAACAGGCAAGTCTCAGTTCTAATGTTGCAGTGGATTGAAGTAGCTTGTTGCTACTGTACTTAAGGACTTCCCCCTTTAAGTAGCAACAAGCCACAGTACATAGGATAATAGTTGGGGTTAGTGCCATTGTAGCCTGCTGCAGATTCTCTCTGATCATTGTCCTCTGCTTTGAGAAATGGGTGAGTCCAGCTCTTTCAAACTAGCTTTCCCCTCTACAAGCCATGTTCCAACCTAAATTCTTATGTCAGATGCCTGGATGATGCCAACGATGTCAGAAGGGGGACTGCACAGTGGGTGAGAAGAAAAGCAGAGATTTGATTGGAGAGTAAAAAGAACCTCTACTTCCCCTTCGCTTGCTGCATCTCCTAACCCGAGTGCTTATCCAAAGACTGGAAGAAGAGTGGTGGCAAGTAAAGGGAGGTTAAGTTCTGACACAAGGTGCCCAAATGAACTTCATTAACTTGAACTGATTTTCTGTGATGTCATAAGCAGTGACCTTGCCTATTAACATCACTCAAGCTGCATACAGTAACAGATCGTACTTATTTCTGGTTACAGTCAGTTCTAATCCCAAAGTAACCCCTTTGAATCAGGATCCGCTCAGCCTTCACTACAGAGCTGAAGCAAAACTGGTAGTGTTGCTCAGTTAGAGAGGAAAGCAGACGCAAAGGAGAAGAAATTAGTATTCAGGAATATTGTAGAAAATAGACCAGAAGAAAAGGCATAGGTTTCTTAGATATGGATGGTCCTTAGATATGGTTTGCCTCCGGCCATCTGCTCTAACCCTTCGGATCATTCAGTGTGTTTAGCAGCTACACTGTAATTTTGCTCACCCCGGAGTAGTCACGGCTACATTGCACTGCCACAATCTTCCTGACTTTTCGGAAGAATCAGAAAGCCCCTATTTTGGGAAGGATCCAGCACTTCCACCGCTTTTCAATCAAAGACCAAGCCCATCTTAGCCCGAGTGACGGACGTGTGGAAACCTGCTCTGCAACTCCAGAAACCCCCGCAAGTTCCCAGTAGCTTTTGACCCAGGAAGTCTATGGAGATTCTCAGTCATCCAGGTCATGGTTGTCCCAAAGGTGCTTTTTTTTCCAGGAGGAAACTGGACTTTCTGGTTTTTCTTTGAAGACGCTTCGCTTCTCATCCAAGAAGCTTCTTCAGGTTTTGACCCAGGAATGCTATGCCATTCCTTGGGACGGGAACAGGGGCGGAAGGGGGGTGTACAAGTGGTTTACCCACCAATTCTAGCAAGAGTTCCGAAATTCCGGGCTTCAGGTGCCAGGAGTTGGCTTCTTTGAACTACAGAGCTCTCCGCCTGAGCCCGCTGCTAGCATAGTCCAACCTTCCTATACAGGTATCCCTAGTTACCGTCCTGGCAGCTTCTGCACCCTCAGATACCTTGGCGGGCCGACCTGTCCGCCTCCCGAATAGCGCCAGGTCTTTCATTCCCACCTTTGCCCAAGAGCAGCAGAAATTTCGCCCCTTTTTCTCTCCAGCCCCGCTTCCCTAACCCCGGTTCTGAGCTGCGCTAAGAATAAAGCGGCATCCTTTGATCTCCGCCGAGAGACGGTTCGGCGCCGGGCGAGGCGCTTACCTTTGGGTTGGTGAGGAGCTGATGCTCGTCCGGGTGCAGGAGCGCCCGGGCGTTGGATTCGGAGTTGTTGACGTAGATCTGGAGGCAGGGGTACAGGGAGGTGCCCTTGCAGTCGGCGCCACACGTGAACGTGCACTCGAAAACCTCGCTGATCCGTTGCACCGACAGCACGGTGCAGTTGGCCGCCTTTCCTTGCAAATCCTGCAGGGCCGGGTTGAGCCAGCAGAAGCCCAAGATGAAAAGCGACAAGATAGCAGAAACGATGAGGAACAAGCCCAGCCGGATGGTTTTGTCTTCAGCTTCGGTGTATTCGTAAGCCACTCGGATCTTGGCCATCGCCCCGCCTCGGAGCAGGGAAAGCAGCGGAGCGGGGAGGGGGGCGTGAGTGGGGAGGGGGAGAGAGGCTGCAAGCAATAGCAGCGATGCCTGGAGGTTGCTTTCCGCCCACCGGGAGACACAGGAAAACCAGCAGGCGAAGGAAGAGCTGGAGCGTCCGGCGAAGAAACTCCGGCCACTCGTTAGTGGCCGAGCCCACCTGCAGGGCTCGCTCCGGCTGGAAGGCGGCCCGGGAAGCGATGCCAGCCAGCAGCTGGCGCGCAGATCCGTTTGCGAGGCGGGCGGGCGGACGGACGGGCGGGCGGGCGAGTGGGGAGAGAAAAAGTCAAGGCAGGGTGCGAATCGCCAAGGAAACGGCCCCTGGCTGCACCTCCTTCCTAGCGAGGCAAGGGGGCTTTCCGGCTGTCGGCCTCCTCCTCCCCCCAAGGGATCGGAGCCGGCCGGGAGCCTGCCAACATCTGCCACGAGGTAAGCTGCTTAGCGGAGGCGGGGGGCCGAGCGGGCTCCGACCTTGAGCTTCTGCCCCCTCCCATCGATGGCCTCGTGGGGCTCGCCATTGAGAAGCCGAGAGGGTGAGGCGAGGGATCCGCGGGCGGGCCACCCTTCCAACGTCCGCCTCCCCCTCGGTTTACAGCGAGGGAACAGCTTGGCTCGGGATTATCCGCCCCGGCGATTTAAGCCCCGGAGGAAGCATTTGATTGCTTGTTTGGGTTAGGAGCCGCGAAAGGGAGGGTCCCGCAACCCTGAACGGGGCAGTGCCGCCGCCACGTGAGAGCTGGGAAAGCGAGGCTGCCCGGGCACGCCGGCAGCGCGGCTATTTTGGAGAGGAGGAAAAGGGCGGGATAAACCTCAGGGAGACACGCGGTATTTTTTTTTCCCGCCTGCCGTTGAGCGGCCTCGACCTCGCACCCGAATCAGCCGAAGAGATCAGAACAAAATCGTCGATGAGTGGCGGTTGCTTTCTGCCCATTTGGGCTGCTTGCAAGAGGAACGGAGTCATAAATCGTCGGGCCCCCATTTAGCCCTGGGCACAAATGGTCAGGCTCAAATTCTCCCACCCCAGAGACATTTTGGGAAGACCCAGCTCTCTAGCAAAGGCTCTAATCTGGGACTGGTGGAATGAAAGACCAGAGGACAATCAGTAGCAGAGGAGATGGACTCGGTTAGATGCACTCGGTTACAGCAATGTTGTGCCCACCATGGACCAAAGACCTCAAAGGCCCATTTGGGAACAGATCCTCCTGGAAAAAATCTGATTGTTAAGAATTGATAGTGACTTGATGGCCTATAATCAATCATCAGTACCTGAATTGGAAATAGAACCATCATTTTTTACAAAGCAGATGAATGAAAGGGCCTACGGAGAATGAGCATTCTTCATCTGCGATACTTAACTTTCATTATTGGAAAAACAATAAAGGTACTCAATCAATTTATCACAGGAACTGGCCACTTTATATGTCCTATCCTATGAATTCAGCTAACTGCTACAATTGCTGTATATATTCACAATGTATGTTTAAAACGATACATCACCTGTTACTGAAACTTACTGAAACTTGAAGTATTGCAAAATGTCACCACTCAGCTCTGGATTCAGTCAAAGTGCACAGTTCTAATAATAAGTGAATACAATGAAACAAGCAATAGTAGCTCAAGACAGAATGCCTTTAAGATGGATTTTTAAAAAAAATTCAAAGGGCATGGAATCAACAGAATAGTATAGTCAGGGAGACAGAAAGTAACCCTTTCAGCCTTTTTTTGTGTTCATACAAAAAACTACTTCCTCTGAAACTTGCATTTACTTGGAAGATAAAGCCAGAGTGAGGCTTAGGTTTTACTTACTCCTTTTTTTTTAGAAATGAACACTTCCTTTGTTCCTTATAAATTAAAACAAAATGGCTCTTTTGTATTACTTCGATGATTTCATTTTAGTTTTTATTATGCCACCCCTTCCCTGAAAAATCTGAAAAAAAATCACTTTTTTTCTTCCATTATCACTCTGCAATCCTGTGAAAATGTAGGCTAATTGTTTAAAAAGAAAAGCAGGAATATTCAAAGCCCATCAAGTACTTCTTTACGTAACACCTAATTAAATTGTGGCAAGTGCTGCCATCAGAGGTGATGAATGGAAACTGTTTTCACAAGAAGCTAGACAAATTCCTGGAAGATTGGACTGTTAGAAACCCACCAGCCTTGGATTACAAAGGAGTGTGATGGCTCAGGGGTTAAAGAACCTGAGCTTGTTAGCTGGAGAGCTGACAGTCCAGGTTTCAGACCTAATGTCAGCCTCAGCTTTTGCCTGCTTCAGCTGCCATAAGAAACGGGGAGGGGAGGGATTAGTTATAGGACGAGGGGTGGGGAGATGCAAGATTTGTTTTCCTTGTAGGATGTGTCTTCATGAGAAACGAAAGTGATTCTTCAAAGGGGACGGCTGTCCAACTGCCCTTACATTCCTGATGAATGACGCTGCCAGACGTGATGCCACCTGACCTTTGGAAGACCTTTGGATTGGCTGATGATATATGGACAAGGGGGGGGGAGATGCTTAGTGGATGCATTTCACGCGCTTTGCTCACTTCCAGCTTTTCCTGGGTTGTTAATCATTTCATATTCAGTAAAAGTACCAAATTCTTCAAAATGCTTGAGTTTGGGTTTTTCTTTCCTGGATACTGAAGAAAGCATACCTGACATTAAGCTGGAAGTCACAACCAGTCATCCCGGACAAAAAACCGAGGGGACTGAAAATCCAAAGTATGTCAGATCGAGGGAGTGATGAAGAAGGGAAGATGGGGGCAGCGAGTTCAACCGCCCTCCAGTCGGAAAGAGAAACTGCAGAATGGTTGGAAAAACTCCGTTTGGAGCCGGAGGAAGCTAGATGGTCCAAAGGAGTGGGGAGACTGCCGGACTGGGGGGAGAATCCCCGGGGAGTGACGACTTCCAGACCCCGTAAAAGGGAGGCAGTGTGGATGCAACAGCAGAAGGAACGTCTCATGATAGATCAAGCCTTGCAGTTTATCCGTGATGTGGAAGAAAGCAGAAAAAAACCGTGAGTCTTTTGAAATTCCTGTGGAGAAGGGGGAAGCAGACCCCAGGGGGGAGCCCGAAGAGACAGCCTGCGGGGGAGAGGAAGAGTTTGAGGAGGGAACATCCCAGGCTTCGGCAGCTCGAGGAAGAGATGCAGCCGGCCAGAGAACCCCAGCCCTGCAGGCCCCCCCCCCGCAGACGTAAAAAGCCAAAAATCCCCCCCCTTCCTGGGAAGTTTGATGGGAATCCTAAAACCTTGGGATTTTTCCTGACCCAAGTGTGGAACCACATGCAGGATTGGGGGGAGGACTACGAAACAGAGGCGGCTAAAGTCAGAAGCGTTGCGAATGCCCTAGAGGGAGTAGCGGCTGAGTGGATGGTGGTTCTCCACAGTAACAACTCCCTCTTGCTGAGAAATTACAACCAGTTCATGAGGGCCCTTAGAAGGCGTTTTGAAGACCATTTAGCTGAACGAAAGGCGAGACTCAGAATGAAGAGCATTCAGCAGGGCCGGAGGCCGGTGGCAGAGTATATCCAAGAGTTTCGTGAACTGGCACCCTATATGACAGGCTGGTCAGAAATGGCTCTTTTGGAGAGTTTCAAAGATGGATTGAATGAAGAGATATATCGAGACTGCAGGAGCATGGGGGTCCCCGATGATTTGGATAGATGGTACATAGTAGCTGAGGATGTGGAGATCGAGCTGAAACGGAGCGAACTCCGAGGAAGGCGGATGGGGGACCAGTCATCCTCTTTCTACCATAAGGGGGCGGCCAAGATGACTGGCGGGAAGACCGAATTCAAACCCAAGTCAAAGCCCTTCACCTGTTTCAAATGTGGGAAGGAGGGTCACCGGGCGGCCGAATGTTTCTCCAAACCACCGCCAAAAGCCACCGGGGCCAGCCAAAAGAAAGGCGATAAAATACCCGCCAAAACCCGCGGCACCACCCTGAAAGGAGAAGTCGTTGAGTTCACTCCCCGGAACCAGGGTGAGTTGGGAACTCCGGCCAACGATGACGACAGCGAGACGGACTCCGACTCCGACACCGACGAACGGGTGAGTCACACGGAAGAACCCTTACTCATCCCCATAGAAGTAAGGGTGCCCTCCACAGGAACTCACGCGCAAATGTTAGCCCTGTTGGACTCGGGGTGCACTAGGTGCATAATTAGCCCCAAGGTGGTGGAGGAAATGGGACTGAGACTGAAAACTTTAAAAAGACCCATTGCATTTTGTCAATTAGATGGGTCGATTGCAGGAGGAGGCCCAGCTAGTTTTATGACCGAACCCCTTGAACTGCAGTTGGGGAATCATGTAGAGAAGCTCAGCTTTATTGTAGCACCTGGCATGGAAAGGCCCCTCATTCTAGGACTGCCCTGGCTTCGTAAATGGAATCCACGAGTAAATTGGAAAACGGGGGTCCTGCGCATCCGTACGGCAGAACCAACTCCGGAAAAGGAAGGCCCCCCCTCAGGGACGACATAAGGCCAGAAAGGGTGGCAGTAGCCATTAACTATATTGAGGAGAAGAAAAAATTCCTAAAGAATATTGGGACCTCAAGGAAGTGTTTAGCGAAAAAGCGTCGGATGCCCTGCCTCCCCACAGGGCCACTGACTGCACCATTGAAATACTCCCTGGCGTGAAGCTTCCCAAACCAAAAATTTACCCCATGACACCTCGAGAGTTGGGGGAATTGCGGAATTTTATCGATAAAAACTTAGAACGGGGATTCATCGAACGAGCCAAACCCAAGGTGGCAGCGCCAGTAATGTTCCGCGAAAAGAAAGATGGGTCCTTCAGATTAGTAGTTGATTATAGAAACATGAACGCCATTTGCGTAGAAAATGTCTATCCCCTCCCACTCATGAAGGACATGTTAGCCCATTTAGGGAAGGGACAAATCTTTACCAAACTTGATTTAAGGGAGGCATACTACCGAGTGAGAATAAAAGAGGGAGATGAATGGAAGACAGCATTTAATTGCCCACTGGGATGTTTCCAGTTTAGAGTACTCCCTTTTGGACTACAGGGGGCCCCGGCTGTATTCATGCAGTTGATCAACGAAGTGTTGCATGAGCACCTATATAAGGGGGTGTTAGTCTATTTGGACGATATTCTAATTTATTCTGACAACATGGCCCACCATGTCAGACTGGTTCGAACGGTCTTGAATAAACTCAGAGCAGCTGAACTCTATGCCAAACTTTCTAAATGTGAGTTCCACCAAGACAAAATTGACTATCTTGGATATCGTATATCGCATGAGGGAATAGAGATGGACCCGGAAAAGGTCCGGGCAGTGATGGAATGGGCCGCACCACGCACCCGTAAACAATTACAGAGTCTCTTAGGATTTGCAAACTTTTATAGACAATTTATCCCCTCTTTCGCGAAAATCGCACTGCCAATTACAGACTTGCTAAAAACCAAAGGGGAAGTAAAA